AAGCAAAAAATATGAAACAATACATACCTCATAGTGTCTACAACCGAGAAATCTACGTCCGGGATTGTCATTTTTCCATGAAATTTTCAAAATGGAGAAGTCCCACATAAACAAACAAGTCTCCTATTATAATTCATGAATTTAGCAAATGCAATTAAAATAAAAAAGAGAGAAAAAATCTTTAATTTGAAAAAGGGAGAAGGGATTAGGGAGAATAAATAGTTAGAGAATAGAGAGAGAGACAGTTCTGAAAAGATGCCAAAAATTAAAGAAAAATGGAGATTTTATGTTTTTTTTACCGTTGTAGCTTTGTGATGTGGCAAAAATTTACTTCCTCACGCGCCTGCTAGAGTTTGTTGTCAATTTCTACGCCAGGTGGACAATAAAGGTATACCGATGAAGGAATAAACAAGTTCGGAAGGGGGGGGGGATTAAAACGAAATATAGTTTAGGTGTACATTGAATAAAAAGCTTCAAGTTTAGGGGGGTAACGAGCACTTTTGCCTTTATTATTTTGTTATACATGTACTCTTAGTAGCTCTTGTACCTGTTTAGACTAGATCCTTGGGGGTGTTAATTACTTTTCAAGTCTTGACCGGAATTGTGTTTAAAAACTCTTGTTTATAAATTACATGAATTTCTTTTATTCGTTAGTTGTCCTAATTTTTCCGCATTTTTAAAACTTTGAGGATATGAGAGTTCTCCTACTTAGGTGTTAGAGTAGGTGCCCGCACGGCCCGATGGGTTGGGTCGTGACATTAGATTATTTTTTGGGTATGCAATTTCGATTCAATGAATATTTAATCTAATTTTTCCTAAATTAAGTTAAACCATTTTTTTTTTATCACAAATGCCAACATCAACAACTTATTTAACTTTAAGTTCTTAAAGGAATTAACTTTTAGTATAGACATCAGATGCCAACAAAATTATGTGCAAGACATATCAAGACAAAAGAAGAAATAGAAAGATCAGAAAAATGGAAGTAATGTTGTTGTTTAGAAAAATAACAAATATTTCAAAAATATTTAATGTGGAAAATGATGTGTCCTTAAGTAGTGACGCTGAAAAGAAGACAGAGTGAAATCAAGACTTGCCACTAATTTGGATTTTTTTTTCTTGACAACAAAATATTTATATATCAATAGTGACATCATGTCTACTTTAAGTAATGATTTCATAAATTCGAAATATAATAAATCAGCTTGTGAATGGAGCAAAAGTTATTTTTCTATATTTTAGTAAATAGTCGAATAACAGCATAAGTCAATAACACATAATCAAGCCATACGTTGTTCTTTCAATATGAAGAAGATATGTGCTCTTTCCATTTCAATTGGTTTGGCCTATTTTGATATGAAGTTTTTATGATTTTATAGTTTAAAATTAAAGATATGTCAAATATATCAAAATATCTTTTAATCGTTTGATCTTAGACATATCATATGAAAAATTAAGATTAAAAAGTTATTTTGAAAAAATTATAATTTTTTAGATTGACTAAAAAAATAGTTCAAATAAATTGAAACTAGGGAGTTTTTTTTCATAATAATCTGGACAAAATTATGGCAATATGGAAAACTTTGATAATTTTCTGTAATGATTACTGATATGATATGGAACCTAAAAAATTATTTAGAACATTCCAAGAAAAGAAGATGACTCAGCATGGAACTTTAATAGAAGAAACTCTGTAAGGACAATTGATTAGTCTTTTGTCTTTACTTACTGAATTTTAAAGCTAAAAAATATTTCTTATATAATTTACTTATAATTATAATACATTGATAGTATAATAAAAAATTTAGCACTACTAAACTATAATAAACTGTTTGTTAGTTTGTGAGATCCAAAAAAAATAAGAAAAAATTCATTAGTTTAGGACTTAATTGTGTGTCTTTACTTTAGTTTTGAAATTATTTTTCGTATCATATTTACTTCGTCAAAAACATGATTTGACGCATTTAGATACGTATATTTCAGATATATGTGTGTCAAATTAGGTGTAATTTGTTTCAGATATATTATATTCTAGTGTGATTCACCTATATCTAAAATAAACTAATTTTCTCGCTCACCTTTCGCCTCTCTCCTCTCTCGCCTCCCTTCCAATGTATCTCTATTCAAAATGTATTTAGTATCAAAAATATATGTATCTAGTATTGAAAGACATATGTTGACTCTCTCGCTTGTCTATCTGCCTATGTATTTGTATTTCAGAATGTATCTGGTATCAAAGAATGTGTTTAGTGTCATTTATATATATATGACTTGAAATAACTGTTCAAAATTATTAACGTGTGAGATAAAATTCCCATTATTTTATAGTATTTAACTATTTATGATAGAAATATTTGTGTAACTAGATAATTTATATACTCCCTCCGTTTCACAAAGAATGATCTAGTTTGACTTGACACGGAGTTTAAGAAAATAAAGAAGACTTTTGAATCTTGTGGTCCTAAATTAAAGTTATGTCAAATGTACAAAATAGTCCTTTAATCTTATGGCCTTAAACATGTCACGTGGAAAGTTGAAATTAAAATGTTACCAAAAATAGAAAAAGGTTATTCTTTTTTAAACTGACTAAAAAAAAGGAGGTAGTCTTTTTGAAACGGAGGGAGTAATAATTTTAAAATGGTTTACATGGCGTATACGTCAAATCCTCTTTTATATAAGTAAAAAATCAAACATTTTTTAAATTTCTAGTTTCAAAGTTGGAATTTCAAATGTTATGACTTCCCTTTTGAGAATTCTTGTTATAAAGAAATTACTTTAAAATTTTCTCAACAGTGTAACACGAACCTACAAAAAATAATTCTTCTTCCCTGATAAGAAAAGAAGTAATACTCTTTCATCCCTAACCAAGAAGTCTCGGGTTTGAGTCCCCTTGGGTACGGAGTAATCTCTTTTAGGGAGCGATTTACCTTCAATATAGACTTCCCAGCGCGAATCCAAATTTAGTTAGACTTCAATGTCGTATTAAAAAAAAAAAAAAGCATCAAGGAGATGATTCAATCAGAGATTGTTCACAACTCATGGTCTTCAACTAACAGCATAAGTCAACTAATTATAGTTTGAAATCAAGAAGTGTAACTCATGGTCTTCAACTAATAGTTTGAAATCAAGACTTGCTACTAATCTGGATTTTTTCTTGACAACAAAATATTATATAGTGACATCATGTCCACTTTAGTTAATGATTTCACAATTTTTAAATGTAATAAATTAGCTTGTGAATGAAGCAAAAGTTTATTTCTATATTTTTAGTAAATAGTCGAATAACGGCATAAATCAATAACACATAATAAGGCCATATGTTGTCCTTTCAATCTGAAGAAGACAATGTGGTCTATTAGCTAAATGGTTATTCTCTTCGTTTCAATTTGTTTGACCTATTTTGATTTGTTATGGATTTTTAAATCTTATGATCTAAATTTAAAGATATGTTATTTGTACTAAAATGTTCTTTAATTTTGTGGTAATAAACATGTCATGTAAAAAATTGAAATTAAAAAATTGTTAAAAAATGATTATTATTTTTTAAACAGATGAAGAAGAAAAGTAGTTGAAAGAAATTAAAGCTAATGAAATATTTAGCTAACATTTTAGGACAAAATTGTGGCAATATAAAAAGTTTTGATAATTTCCTATAGTGATTACTGATATGATATGGAACCTAAAAAATTATTTAGAATATTCCAAGAAAAAAAAGATGACTCAACATGGAACTTTAATAAGAAGAAATTATGTAAACACAGTTGATTAGTATTTTGTCTTTACTTGCTGATTTTTAAAGCAAAAAATAAAACATTTCTTATATAATTTAATCATATATATTGATAGTATAATAAAAAAATTAGCACTACTAATAAACTACAATAAACTGTTTGGTAAGTTTGTAAGACCTTAAAAGATAAGACAAGATCTATATAGGTGATATCAATTAGTTAGAGATTATGCATTAGACATATTGGTGTATTATTTTAGGTCATATTTTTCCTAAGAATCTTCTAATTCTGTCTGAGCCACAGAAATTATAGAACAGTTCAAATTTCTATTTTATTTGTATAGCATCTGTCTAAGACGGGCTTAAAGGGAGAATATATCAACTATTACTAAAAAATTTAGTGATAATTGTTATAAAAAAAATAAAAATTTCACTAATTTAGGATTTAACTACAGGTTTTAAAAATATCTTTTATATCATATTTAATTCGTTAGATACATGTATATATATGACACACTTAGAGACATGTAACTCAAATATATATGGATAAAATTAAGTGTAATAGTTTCAAATACATTATATTCAAGCGTGATTCGCATTTATCTGGATACACTAACTCTCGCACTAGCTTTTTTTTTACCTCGATCTCTCTCGATATATCTGTATTTCACAATATATCTAATATCAAAGTTATATGTATTTAGTATCAAAAGATATATGTTAAATTTCTCATTCGCCTCTATCCTCTAACGCTCACCTCTCTCCATGTATTGTGTTTCAGAATGTATCTGATATCAAAGATACATGTATCTAGTATCTTTAAGTCATATATCATACATAAAATCTAAAGGAGTGGCGTATTGACTTAAAATCTAATACGAAATTATTAATTAGTGAGACTGTATGCAATTATTCGAGAAGAATGGATTAATATTGATGGTAGAAATATTTTTGTAATTGGATAATTTTTCCTAATTGTTATTGTAATCATTTAAAATAAGTTAAATTACAATGATAATTTTAAAATGATTTACATGGCGTATACGTCAAATCCTCTTTATATGTGAAAAACTCAACATTTTTTAAATTTCTAGTCTCAAAGTTGGAATTTCAAATGGTATGACTTCCCTTTTGAGAATTCTTGTTATAAAGAAATTACTTTAAAATTTCCTCCAGTCCTATATTATATATACCTCTTCACCAATCATTGGGAGCAAACAGTGTAACACAAACCTACAAAAAAAAAAAAAAAAAAAAAAAACCTTTCTTCCCTTGTAAGAAAAAGCATCAAGAAGATGATTCAATCAGAGATTCTTCACAACTCATGGTCTTCAACTAACCAAATTCATCCTTTTTATGAATATCAAAATCATGGTGTTTCTAATTATTCTTCACTTAACTCCAAAGATCAAGATTCCTCTGAAATTTCCTTCTCAGATTTCACTTCCCTTTTCTCTGATGACGTTCTTACTGATCTTCCCATGGATGATATGGAGTTTGTTGATGTCTCCCGATGGTTAAACGATAGTGAAAGTGAAGGAAATGAAAATATGAAAAAAGATGGAGATTCATGTAGTCCTGAACTTTCAAGCATATCCATTGATACCTCAACGACAATACAATCAAGAAACGATGTTGTTTCACATGTACTTCAAGGAAATAGTAGAGAAATGGATAACCAAATGAGAATTCATCATTTATTGTCAGTTTATGGAGAGGCAATGGAAAATGGTCACAAGGAACTAGCAGAAGTGATCATAAGAAGCATAAAGGGGAAAATAAATCCTTTAGGTGAATCGTTGGAATGCGTTGCTTCAAACTTATTCCAGCAAACAGAAGAGGATCAAGGAAGTTATTTGAGACAAGAATCAAACAAGATTATTGAAGCAGCATTCAAGGCCTTGTACCAAATTTTCCCATTAGGGAAATTTGCTCATTTGGCTGCTAACTCAGCAATTGTAGAAGCTATGCCTGATGATGCACAAATCATTCACATAGTAGATTATGACATGGGAAAAGGGATTCAATGGCCTCCAATTATTGAAGTCATGAGCCAAAAAAGAAAGATTTTGAGATTAACATCCATAAAGAAAACAGAGGAAGAATCAACAAGTGATCATTGGAGATTTGAGGAGACAAAAAGAAGACTTCTTGATTATGCAAATCCTTTTGGCCTAACATTACTAGTTGAGGAGATGACATTTGAAGAATTGGCAAGTGAATTGAGAAGAATGAAGAAAAGGGGTAAAAGGAGTGAATGGTTGGTTTTCAACTGTATGTTTCAATTCCCTCACATGGGGAAAAGAATGCGTAGAATCGACGCGTTGGAGTTTCTAAAACTAGCTAAGGAATTGTTATTAGCTAATTCTTCAACACACAGAGGACTTGTTACTTTTGGTGATGGAGAAGCAATGGACAATAGTCATCAAAACACAAACTATACTTTTTCTTCATACTTTAACAAGAATTTTATACATTACCAATCGATTTTCGAGTCATTGGAATTGTATTTTCCATCTCATCTTGCACAAGCTAGACTTGCTATGGAATCCCTTTTTCTAGCACCTCAAGTGTGCTCATTTTCTTGGTTTCAAAACTGGGAAGAGATGACAAGTGTTTCTGATTCTTGTAGTGAAATAGGGTTGCAAGGTATGAGAATAAGCAAAGAAAACTTATTACAAGCCAAAGAAGTGGTGAATGAAAGAGAAACTCCATTTAAGGTGAGGATTGAAGAAGAAAGACAGCATGAGATGGTCTTGGAATGGAAAGGCATATCTGTGGTGAGAGTTTCTACTTGGATGTAGAACAAGAAGACAATAGCAGAAATTAAAATTCATTCTCAGTCATTTTCTTTTACTTGTGTTTTCCTATCTAGTCTCAAAAAATAGGCAATATTAATATTAGCATGTGAGTGTACTTATGTTGTATATAGTTGTTAAAACCCACAATTGTAAATGACAATTTATGTGATGCATTTTTCTTTATTTAGTTTGTTTCGAGAAGAATGATATTTTTTATGTTTAAAAACAAATTTACTTTTTAACTTTTTATTTTTTACTTTTTTAACGAGTGATTTTTTTTTTTCTCTAAACAGATAATGGTAAATTTTAGTGACATAATTTATAACTACATATATAAACTTGTTTTAGACAATAAATTTTAAAAATCTTTGATAAACTTGTTTTAGACCACAATTTTTTTTAAAAAAAAATATTTGTTGAATTTTGTGATCAATCAAAGTACATCACTAAAATAAGACTAGAGGAGAGTAATATTATCTTCTTCAGTGTAAATTTTTCATTACAAATGGTCAAAAGCCAATTTAAAGTGATTTTCCTCCTTAATTAAGATGCAAAAGGAGGCCAAAGGGAATATATTTTTCATTTCAATATAAATGGTCCAAAGCCAATTCACTTTGATATTATGTTATCTCTTATTTAGTAGTGTTTTCAAACTAAGTATACTCATATATACCCCTTATTCAACATTATTAGAATAATGGGTTAGGTACTACTCCTACAATAATATACCCTACTCATTCTATACACCAACCAAACCGTCTATAAAAAAATAAGTCAGGCATATAAATTTTTCCATAGTTGTACTCCTTTTTTTCCTTTTTAATCAAATATCATATAAGAATAATAATTCAGCAAAAATTGCACTGAAGAACCACTTAACTAAGTTTGCAAATGTAAATATAATAGCAGCAGCAATTTAGAAATTATGGTATCAAAGCAAATAGTTAGTTCGTAACTTCAAATCCACCAACCAACATCAACTATATTTCTTCAAATAGTTGATCAAGAAAATGGCGACATGTCATAAATCAGATGCTCGAAGTCCAACAGTCTCATATTTTTACTACTCAACAGATGGTTCTGACTTTGTATGCAGGCTGGCTAGTACAGAAATGAATATATCTATCTAGCTTTGCCAACAAGAAAGACCAAACATAGCATGGAGAAAATCAACCGTCACCTATGATTTCAGGCTACTCTTGTGAGTGGTTACAGGACAGAACAAACATCTACCTGAAATAAATAGAGACTTGAGGGATATCAACATCGTTGTCTTCATCATCCTCACAAGCCACTACCACGTCAAAATGTTTCCTGTATTGAGGCAAATCTGCCTTGGCCACTTCCTTGGCCAGTTCCACCATTTTCCGATCCATCCGCTCTTTATGCTTAGGGAACATGCTGTTATAAAGTAAGCAGCTCCCATAAGAAATGCTATAAGCATTCAGACCTTTGTTTTGAAGCCACTGAAGAAGCTCCCTCAAAGTTGGATTGTCTTTCAAAATCCACCTGTCCCACACAGTCCAGTTCATGTCCTGATGCTTGATCACCTTTGGTGGAACTGGTTCAGCCATGGAAAATAAAGGAAGAGCCAAGTTGGCAAAAGTGTTACGGTAGTCCTCCACCTTATGACCTCCATTCAAAACCTTATAAAGCTCTAGACAAACAAGACCAGTGGCCATAGCAGTAGAAGTAGCAATTGCTGGAATGATCCTCCCTGCTATGAATTTGGCCTTCAGTTTATCCACTTCAGGGATGCTATAGTTTCTAGCCCTCATGTTTGCAAGTCCAGCAATGAAGTCCATATGATAGTTGGTGTCATCGTCCTGTAATTCAGACAAACTTAATTTGGAGAGAAGATGGAAGAAATAAACATATGGTTATAACTTGAACATCTATCACGGTAAGAAGTTGTATTATCTTCATTTCCACATAAAATGTTTGTTAAAACATCATGTGCGTCTTCAAGTTCAGCACCAGTCAGCATATACATGTCAGACCCTTTTCCTTTCTTCCTCCTAGGGAACGCATTTACCAACCAAATGATCACGCTCTCAAAAGATGCCTTTTAACATATGCAACATGCACACAATAGAGAGAGAAAGAGAGAGAAAGAGAGAGAGAAAGAGAGAGAGAGAGAGAGAGAGAGAGAGAGAGAGAGAGAGAGCACCTTTTCAAATTGAATGGGATTCATCTTGTAACCTGAAGGTAATTTCTGACGACACGTTTCCAGCTGCATCACCAACTCGTTGATGACTGCAGCATCATCTATGGATGATGCCGACATGCTGGTTGCTTTCTCATCTGTCACAATCTTCACATCTTTCTTTGGCTGGAAATCGGGGACCATCACTTTATCAACAGCTTCAGCTAACTTTTGAGGAGAGTTCACCCAATCTGGAATGGGAATGCCAAATGTTTCTGCTCGTAACATAGAGGCTGCCAGGAGAAATTGAAGATGACTGGCATCATCAACAGAAAATTGCAATGGTCGAGGGAAACGTTTTGGTGCTGACCAGAATGGAGCACCACTACTTGTAGTGGCATCCTCAGGAAAAGTATATGTCAACTGCTTCACACGGTCTGCAAAGTAATCTTCAAACCTGGTTACAAGGAAAAGCAAATCGTTAAAAGCATATATATAAAAAAGAAATCTGTTTAAAAGGGTAAAATTTAGTTGGTTTTTTATGGTTATACCTCAGGCGAGCCCAGGTAATGCAGTTTTCAAATGTATCACATCTCTCCTTGTCGAGGCATTCAAGAACACGATCCAAAATGTCCCTGGCCTGTGCATCACCAGCCTTTTGCATAGAAGATATGTAATCGCTAGGATTGATCAGATAAGCATTAACTTCAGTTGGTGTCTTCTCAAGCAAACCCTCAAATTCTGACCGGGCCCATGTTAAGCAATGGTCGATGTTGTGTGGGAAAGAGTGAACTGTGCACATAGGTGCTTGTTTTTCTGGTGGATCCCTTGATGCACCATAATTTTCTGTAAGGTGAGGAATTACCATCTGAGTGTTGCACTTGGCACCCAGGGTTCCAGACTCCAATAACGGTTTTTGAAAATACAAACATCTCTGATCAATGTAAAGCCTGGCATTCACATTATCTAGTGCATTGACCACAACACTCAAATTCTCCCAGAATGTATCATCAAATACACTTTCTGTTTCAGGGCTTGCGCGGTTTTGCAGTGCTTCAATGCGAATGCGAGGATTGATCAAAGAAGCAGCGGCACCAGCAACAGTAGACTTGGCTTGCCCAATGTTCCAGTCACGGAAAAGGAATTGCCTACTGAGATTGCTCTTCTCAATGACATCATCATCTGTAATTGTTAGCTTTCCTTCTTCACCACAGCAAACCCCCATGAGAGCTAAATTCTTCAAGAACTCACACCCAAGTGCACCAGACCCAACTACAAAAGCTTTTGCCTCTTCCAGCTTCTGCTGTAGCTTGTTTCCGAAAACTGAGATTTGGGCATCATAACGACTATTCAAGGGCTTCAAATCATTTGGATCCAATGGTTCAGTTGGAAGAGATTCAACAGAGTCAAAGTAGAAAAAACTGTCACAAACAGATTGAAAACAAATGTTCAGTGACAGAACATTCCAAGACTATTAAAAAGCAACCATAAATACAACAAAAGGCAATATGCAGCACCAGAAACTAATTTAATCTAAAATTTCAGGAAATAGTTACCACACTGCCAAAGATACATAGGGATACCAATATTGACAGTTAAGAAGACACAAATATAACATCTCAAACTCAAACCATCATGCTTCAGAAGCAAAATAGTGTTCAGATAGAGTTCCCTTGCACTTTGTTCTAATTGGAGTTAAAAATCTAAAAACAAGTCCCATATGATCTAATATGAACTTGTTCAAACAAGGTAGCAACAAGTATAACAGATCATCCCGACAAAAAAACTGCATGAAATTTAAGAATTCTTCTGGCTCAATTATAACAATTCATTTACTGACCTGGTATAGTGGATGGAACTTCCCAGAGCAAGCCTTCACAACTTCTTGCCCAACGATACCCCCAAACATAGCCGCCATTGGGTTTAGCACAGCCCTTGCACCAAATGCAAAGTTACGAATAAGTTTATGGTCAACCTCAACTTTTGCATCTTGACTATTGTTCATGTCAGTCACAAGTGAGATTAGCCTCTGAGCATCTTCCTCAGATCCAGCAACAGGAAAACGTCCTGATAAAGACACAAACTTATCTAGGGCTTGAAAGGTCAAGTGCAAAATAGGTGGGCGGTCAAACTTTGAGAAGTCACTCAGAAGAAAGTCACCAGGATCGCTAATTGCTTTACGCAGTGGGTTGAACTTTAACACTTTTGGCACCTTGACCTGAGTGACGATACCCCCTCTTTCATATGCTGCATACTCTGTGGTATCATCTTCAATAGTAAATGAATATGGCCTTGCACTTTTTATTTTTCTAGCCTTCCCATCATTCAGCTCTGTCATGCCCCGCACTTCAGAAAATATAACCAAGTCCCCATCCTGAAACTCAAGCCTCTCGTCATCAATACATGCCACAAGAGCAGGATTATCATTGCTAATAGACGCAACGATTCCTGTGTGGGGATCCTCACCATCAACATCAACAACTGTAAATTCAGGACCAAAGTCACAAAACACACTACCAAAAAGGCCTCGAACTTCAGTTTTGATGAAAGCAATAGGAGGCTGGTGCATATGACAGTAATCATCAAATTCAAAAGCCTTCTCTAAGCTGATATCTGTAAATACAACGGCCTGCAGATAAAGTATAGCGCATTCAGGATGTTATCTCCCCAAAACCATGCCAGGATATTAGTAGCATAATTATAAAATCTCAACAAAATTAACACTGTCATGCTCATATCACTGACAATATAAAACACAACACACCAATTCTTCACCGCCCAAACACACATTTCCTCAAACAAATTGCCATTGACATAGTTGAGATAATTCATCCTTGGAAAGTCTAAATGACTATCACTCCCA